TCTATGTTTCGTCTTTTTTTTGTTGTATGTTAAAAAAAAAAGCACAAAAAATAAATTAAAATAATAAATAAAAACAAGCTGCATCATGAAACGATGTAGAAAACTAAAAACAGGAACATGTCTGCATCGGTCCCTGCCACGAGTCCAACAGATTCTTAAAGCCACTTAGAGAGGTCAAAGGTCGAGAGCTTCAGATCTTTTTACAAGATGTTCCAGGAAACAGGAGCGGAGTAGGAGAAGGTCCTTTTGTCTAGTTCAGTCCTCACTGAGGGAACACTGCAGGTAATGATGTCCTGAGAGCGCACGCTGTAGCTGCACTCACACAGAGACATGTAGGAGGAGATGTATGAAGGCAGCAGACCAGGAAGTGATTTAAAGATGAAGATGTACCAGTGGGAGAGTCTGTGTGAAGTTAATGGTGACCAGTTAACCAGTGAATACTGGGTGCAGTGGTGGGTACGGTAGTTACAGCCAGTTATGAATCTTAGTGCACCATGATAGACAGCATCCAACATCTGCAGCATCCAACATCTGCAGCATCCAACATCTGCAGGGTTCTTGTAGGAGCGTTCATGTAAATAATGTCACCGTAATCAATGGAGGGAAGGAAAGTCACAGATACAAGGCGTTCCTCAGGGTTCAGTTAGACAGGATCTGTTTCTGAAAACAAACCCAGTTTAACTTTCAGTTTCTTTATTGAGTTTTCGACATGAGGCTTAAAAGAGAGATGTGAGTCGACCAAGATTCCCAAGTATTTGTAAGAGTCAACAAAATCAATAGGAACACCATTTGTAGATAAGACAGAAGGAAAGACTGCTTGGACTGAATTCCTGTTTGGAAACCGTATCCCTTTGGTTTGACCAGTGTTTAGCACCAGTTTGAGACGGAACCAATGTTACTGGGTGATGTTGAATGCAGACTGTAAGAGCTGACAAACCTTAGCAGCTGTTCTAGCTCGACAATAAACAACTGTGTCAAAAGTTGTGAAGTGAAGAGACTTGTGTCCTCTAACTTACATCTGGGATGAAGCCAATCTCATTTAGATGGTTGCTGAGCTCTGGGTCATGGAAGGCAATCATCTGAGAGAACACAGTCAAGTACTCTGGGAAACAAACGGAACCATTAAAACATGAGATGTGCAGCTTTCAGGTACAAGAAACAGGCTTCACAGAGAAACACCTCAGCATGCACACATTTCATTCTAAACATTTACTATTTATTATAAAAATAAGATTTTTCACATTTCTGACTGCTGAAACCTTAGAGATGTATTTGAGTCAAAAATAACGTTCTTCACAGAGGACGAGCTCTGACCGCTCTGCAGTGCCTGCAGCCATGATGAGGTGCTGCTGCAGCTGGTCAGCCACACCCAAACTGACTTTTCTCTGCAGCCATTAGCTTCTCCACCTATAAGTGACGGAGCTCAGCAGCACACGCCTTCAGACAGACTGAACAGTTTCCAGCACTGACTGTGATCAGCCTGAAGCGACAGAGCAGGGCTGAGAGCAACCAGAGACTGTTACAGGCTGGACTCAACCTGGAGACCCTGAAAGTGAAAGCAGGCGGTAGAAGAAGGTGATCCTGCGTCAAATATCTAAATAATCAATTCAGAGCCTTGAAAACGTATTCATGCCACTTGAACTACATTATCACGCTTCAGCCACAAACTTCAACACATTTTACTGGGATTTTACTTAAATACCAACGTAACGTGCACGCAAGAGAAAAATGGCAGGAAAATAAATTCTTTCCAACATTTTACAGGTAAAAATCAGAAAAGTATGTTGTGAATTCATATCCACCTCTTACTCTGATAGCTCAATGTCAAATCCAGCTGCTCTGTGAAGGCCTCAGAGGATTAGTGATCGGACAGCATCATGAAGACCAAGGAACACACCAGACCAGTCAGGGATAAAGTTGTTGAAAAGCTTTAACCAGAGTTAGGCTGTAAAGCAACATCTCAAGCTTTGAACAGATCTGTTCAGTCCAAAATGTGAAAAATGAAGAGGTTCAGGTTTCTTTATTTGTCATAAGTAAAATCAACACAAGACAATGACGTGCTCAGGACGAGAAGATCCGTCTCCACTCGCCATAAAACAACAGCAAATGTCACAGCATGCACCACAAATACAAAAACAAGGTGTCAAAAGTGAAAAACAAATCTACAGCAGCATGGTCCTGTTAGCACAGTGGTCCTGTTAACAGAGTGGTCCTGTTAGCAGCGTGGTCCTGTTAACAGAGTGGTCCTGTTAGCAGCGTGGTCCTGTTAGCAGCGTGGTCCTGTTAACAGAGTGGTCCTGTTAACAGAGTGGTCCTGTTAACAGAGTGGTCCTGTTATTAAAACTGCAGCAGAAGCTAGCAAGCAGGTCACCGGTTCAAATCCCGGCCTGGGACCTTTCTGGGTGGAGTTTGCATGTTCTTTCCGTGCTGCGTGGGTTTTCTCTAGGTCCAATTTCCTCCCACAGACCAAAAACATGCATGTTAGGCTGATTGGTAACTCTAAATTGTCCCCAGGTGAAAGAGTGAATGGTTGTTTGTCTCATTTGTCTCTATGTGTCCCTGTGATTCAATCCAATTCAGTTCAGTTTATTTATCTAGCGCCAAATCACAATAAAATTGTCTCAGGACACTTTACAGGAACATTCACATACATAGAAAAGACAATTAGTAAAGTTCTCTATCTAAGAAGGTAATGGACTTACAACCTGTCCAGGGTGTTCCCACCTCTCACACAGTGACTGTTGGACACGGGTACCAGTGACACCCGTGACCTGAAAAGGAAGAAGCAGGTAAAGATAATGGATGGATGGATGGATGTTGGATGATGAATGGATGGATGGATAATGGATGGATGATGGATGGATGATGGATGGACTTGACTTTATCAGGACTGGGAAAGCTGGTAAGAGTAGATGGGGAGGACAGACCGAGCTGAAAACGGGTCAGTCCTAGGAGAAAACCTGATGGAGGCTGTAAAACATCCAGAGGGTCACCTTCCAGCAGGACCTGAACATCCAGCCGGAGCTACAATGGACCAGATCAGAGCGCCTACGTCCAGTCACATTTATCTAAATAGCACATTTAAAATCAGCAGCTGTTACCAAAGTGCTTAACAATCACAGTAACTAAAAGAAAAATAAGACAATGTAATTAAAAGCATCAAAAGAAAAACCTAAAATGATGTACATCAAATCCCACTGTGTCAGAAGTCGGAGGAAACGATGCGTATTCATCAGAACACGATTATTTCCCTCGTACTTCACAAACATGGCCGACTGAGTCAGCGTTCCTTTATCGTCATTCGCACCACATATGGTACATGTAGTGGAATGTGTACACTGGGTCCCAGTTACATCAGCTGTCACATCAAATCCCAGTAAAATACTTTGAATTGTGGCTGTCACGTTACAAAAGGGCCATGAAGGCACCATATGGAGTTACAAAGAGGGCCATGAAGGCACCATATGGAGTTACAAAGAGGACCATGAAGGCACCATATGGAGTTATTAAGAGGGCCATGAAGGCACAGTATAGAGTTACAAAGAGGGCCATGAAGGCACCATATGGAGTTACAAAGAGGGCCATGAAGGCACCATATGGAGTTATTAAGAGGGCCATGAAGGCACAGTATAGAGTTACAAAGAGGGCCAAGAAGGCACTGTATGGAGTTACAAAGAGGGCCATGAAGGCACCATATGGATAATTACAAAGAGGG